GCTTATTCACCACTTTATTCTTGGAGGAGGAGGCAAACAGCAGTTGTAACTAAGTGTGTGGGATATGGGTTGAAAGATAGGAAGTTTTACATATGAGTATTGAAAATGGTTTTGAGCAGGTAGTGAAGGTGTCATTTATTCATCCATTCATTCCACACGTATTTCTTGGATGCTTACACAGTGCCAAGCACCATTCTAGGTGCTACGATGGCCAATAGCCTTTTAGAAAACCGTCCAAGGTCAGGCCTCCCTCTCAGGTGGCCATAATAGGGCCCAGAACAGGCCTGGCTCATCCTCTCTATATTAATTGTTACTTTTTCACTCCTTGTCTCCAGGAGACAGTGCTGGCTTCCCTTTTTGTTTATAACTGTCAGGGATGAGTCATCCTTCACCCCAAGTGTCACCGAATCACATAGCACATTCCAGTCTGGTTTGTACCGCTGCCAGGATGTCAGGCAGGAGGCTCTTTCTGCCTGGCTCCCAGTGCTCACGGTCATCAGCACGGTGAGACCAACTGCACACATTAATTCACTGGGGAATGGAGAAGAACAAGCGTGGTATTGTTTTCTATCCTTTTTTGTTTAGTACAAGATATATTTAGGAGTGAACAGGTTCTTTCTAGGTGCCAGTATATCGAACAGTACCTGCCATTAGAAAGCCCTGAATCCATTTTTGTTAATTTATTTATTTTAAAGATTTTAATTTACTTATTTGACGGAGGGAGCAAGGGAGCACAAATGGGGAGCAGTAGAGGAAGAGGGAGAAGCAGACTCCCCACTGAGCAGGGAGCCCAGTGCGAGGCTGGCGCCCAGTGCAAGGCTTGATCCCAGGACCCCAGGATCATAATCTGATCCAAAAGCAGACGCTTAACTGGCTGAGCCACCCAGGCGCTTCCTGTTCCTTTCTTAAGTGAATTTGTACCTGTGAGCAAATAAAGTCAGCAGTCTCCTAGGAAGGATATTGGTTCTGCAAGTGGACCCCACAGCTTTTGGTGTTTGTGCACACAAAATGGTTCTTTGAAGAAAACCTAGAAATTTATTTTAGAATTTTAAGAAAATTGAGGTGCCTGGGTGGTTCAGTTGATTGTCTGTCTTCAGCTCAGGTCGTGATCCCGAGGTCCTGGGATTGAGCCTCACTTCAGGCTCTGTGATCAGTGAGGAGCCTGCTTCTCCTTCTGCCCCCTGGCTCCTGCTTTTTCTCTCTCACTCTCTATTTCAAATAAATAAATAAAACATTAAAAAAAGAATTTTAAGAAAATCTGTTATAAACAAGCAAACAAAATTATTCCTGACAATTTTCTATTTAGAAAATACCTCGTATTTTGGTTTGCTTATTTAGGCTTTCTTCTCTTGATATTCCTGTAATAAATTAGATTGATTTATATATATATTTTTTTAAGTTTTTCTTTATTCATGAGAGACACACAGAGGCAGAGACATAGGCAAAGGGAGAAGCAGGCTCCTCACTGGGAGGCCGATGGGGACTCAATCCCTGGACCCCTGGGATCATACCCTGAGCCAAAGGCAGATGTTCAACCACTGAGCCACCCAGGTGTCCTGGTTTATATCTTTAAAAATGGTTTGCAACTTTACTTATTTATTTTTGTTTTAAAGATTTTATTTGAGAAAGAGAGAGCTTGTGCGCATGAGTTGTGAGGAGGAGGCAGAGGGAAAGAAAGAAGCAGACTTACATTGAGCAGGGAGCCCCAGTGCGGGGCTTGATCCCAGGACCCTGAGATTATGAACTAAACTGAAGGCAGAGGCTTAATCAACCGAGCCATCCAAGTGCCCTGGTTTGCAACTTTAAAATAAATATTTTAAAAAACATTTTCACCTATAGTTCTCTACCTTACTGTAATGTTTCATTTTTTAGGATTCTCTCCTAGTCTTTATCAAATTATTATATGTATTGTAACATTGGCATTTAGGCAATTGCGTGTTCTACTCTAAGCCTTAAAAGTTCTTACCCACTTTTTGAATATGCCTCATGAAGTGATTCATACTCTAGCAGTGTGACTCAGGGTAGTGAAAGGAGGTTTGTTTTGAACAGTGGGATGAGTGTCAGACTAGTCTACCAACCAGAAAACATTTCATGCAATTCAAGGCTTAGATGAAACAGCAGATTTCTTCTTGGCCTAGTCTTGGATGGAAAGTAGCTGGATCTTTAGCTCAAATTAGAGATGATGAGATGCTAAAAGCACTTTTAGCTTTGGGAAGTTCAGAGTGGCCAGCCAAATAACAAGTGATCTACCTTAGAATTAAACTTACTGGTTCTTTATTGGGGAAAAAGATGAGATCTTTGTAAAGCTTTTTTGGGGATGGGAGATCTCTCTCTCTCTCTCTCTCTCTCTCTCTCTCTCTCTCTCTCTCACACACACACACACACACACACACACACACACACACACACACGGTACATGAAACAATAGGCTGGCATTTCCCAGCCTTTCTTACTTTCTAGGGAAGGAGATCAAAAAGGAAAAGGTCCTAGGTTTTGGGATCCCTGGGTGGCGCAGCGGTTTGGCGCCTGTCTTTGGCCCAGGGCGCGATCTTGGAGACCCGGGATCGAATCCCACGTCGGGCTCTCGGTGCATGGAGCCTGCTTCTCCCTCTGCCTGTGTCTCTGCCTCTCTCTCTCTCTCTGTGTGACTATCATAAAATAAATTAAAAAAAAATTAAAAAAAAAAAAAGGTCCTAGGTTTTTATTTAAAAAAAATTTTTTTTCGGGGGATCCCTGGGTGGCTCAGCGGTTTAGTGCCTGCCTTTGGCCCGGGGCGTGATCCTGGAGTCCCGGGATCGAGTCCCGCATCGGGCTCCTGGCATGGAGCCTGCTTCTCCCTCCTCCTGTGTCTCTGCCTCTCTCTCTCTCTCTCTGTCTATGTCTATCATAAATAAAAAATAAATCTTTTAAAAAAATAAATAAAATAATTTTTTTTCATCAAAAATACTAAATAAAGAATGAAAACAATATGAGTCTGAAAGAAAAGAAATAATTGCATATGTTTTACATTTTAAATAAGTACATTTTCAACATCTGATAAATGTTAAGGACACAATTTTGACAGTTTTGTGTTAAATTCTTTTATAGTTCTGTAAAATGTGCTTGAATTCTGTGGAGGATTGATTTTGAGTTTGTAGATCCCTAAAGACATCCCACTTGGTGTGCATACAATGGTGATACAGGCACGAGTTTCCAAGTTGACCTTTAGGTCTGGAATGCCAGGCAGAGTAGACTATTTCAAAGATATAGATGAGCAACCTATGGATAGAACTATATGCTCTTTAAGTGCCTCAGGATCCTCAGGAAAGAAGTAGAACACAAAGTAAAAACTATTGGCTATAAAATGACCTGTAGAGGTTTGTTTCTAAACCAAAAATCATACTTGAAACTCACTTTAGGATCTTGGCTATAACAGTTATGATTGGGTTTGGTCATATGTAACAGACAATCAGAAAACTGGGCTTGCTTAAACAAGATAGAAGTTAATTCCACCCCCCCCCCACCCCTGCACATGAAAGAAATCTGAAGCTAGGATAGTGAAGTAGCTCTGGGGGTCCACTGATCCAGCCCTGCAGTCAGGCTCCTTGCTCAGCCAGGAGCCTTCTTTCTTCTCCCTCTCCCTCTGGCTCTACCCACTACCCCCAGCTTGTGCATGCTCTCTCTGTCTGTCAAATAAATAAATACAATCTTAAAAAAAAAAAAAAGAAAAAAGAAAGAAAAGAGAAAAGGCTTTCCTGAAAGCCCACCCACTTATTTTCAGTCTGTAAAGGCCATTGCCTTCCCGATAATGCAGAGGCTAAGTATTGGATGGGCAAACCTTAGTCTCTGTCATACCAAGTGATCATGAAAGTAAAGGTATTATATTACCAAGACTTAGGTGGCTAAGACTTTGGGATGCCTTCAAACCTTTAGAATAGGACGGTAATAATGTTTGGCAAACCCGGCTTAGTTTGTTGCTTGATTGATTCAACAATGTTGAGGACTGTGTGTTAAGCACTGGAGTTTACCACAGTTAATAAGGTAGACATGGTCCCTGCCCTCAAAAGCATTGACAGGGTATTGGGGAAAAAAATGACTTTTTATTTATTTGTTTGTTCATTTATTAAAGATTTTATTTATTTGACAGAGAATGAGAGGGAAAGAGAGCACAAGCAGGCAGAGGGAGAGGGAGAAGCAGGCTCCCCGCCAAGCAGGGAACTCAACCTGGGATCATGACCTGAGCCAAAGGCAGACACTTAACCAGTGTCTGGTTAACTTAACTGAGTTGCCTAGGCGCCCTAAAAAATGGGTTTTAAATAATTTTATAAATGTGTTGAACATTTTTTAAAAGTTTTTATTTATTTATTCATGAGACACACACACAGAGAGAGAGAGAGAGACGGACTCCAGGATCATGCCCTGAGCTGAAGGCAGATGCTCAACCGCTGAGCCACCCAGGCATCCCTAAATGTGTTGAACATTAAGGAAAGGAGAAATAGAAAGTGCTTGGGATTGTGTACTAGGAAAGACTAAGGGTGTGACAAGCGTACACAGGGAGATTGGAAGATTGCTTGGGAATTAGCCACCTTAGAAATGTGGCTGGGAGTATGAGCAAAAATGAGAATGGGAAGAATGTTCCAGGCAGCCTCAATCCCGATCTGATCATTCCCACATCCATTCTTTCTCATTCCATTGTTTGTCTTACCCCTTCATCTGAGGGCATCAGTGCGTTCCCAAACACAAAGGAAGCCAGGGACTCAAGTCTTTTTATCTGAAATGACTAAAGAGACTGCCATCCTTTCTACGGACTTTATTCTCACTCTCTCTAGATGAGTGTCTGCCTCTTAGGCTGCAGCAGGGAGTGTTGGGAACCCAGGAAGGAGGCAACAAGTGATTGGGGCAAACCGAAGCCCCACTGCCTAGTCACAGATCTGGATTTTGGTCTCAGTGTGGGACTTTGGGGAGGCCCTGGATTGGTTCTGACCTGGAAGTGCTGATATGAACCTCCCTTCCCCTTCCAGGATGTGGACATTGTGGTAGCACCGTGCCAAGGCCTCCGGCCTGCAGTGGATGTTCTGGGTGACTTGGTGAACGATTTCTTGCCTGTGATAACCTATGCACTCCACAAAGACGAACTGTCTGAGAGAGATGAGCAAGAACTTCAGGAAATCCGAAAGTATTTCTCCTTTCCCATATTCTTTTTCAAAGTGCCGAAGCTGGGCTCGGAGATCATTGCCTCATCTACCAGAAGAACAGAGAATGAAAGATCACCCCTCCATCACCAGCTGATGGACCTGGGCTATCTGAGCAGCAGTCACTGCAACTGTGGGGTCCCTGGCCAAGACACTAAAGCTCAGAGCATGTTGGTGGAGCAGAGTGAGAAACTGAGACACTTGAGCACATTTTCTCACCAGGTGCTACAGACTCACCTGGTGGACGCAGCCAAGGCCCTGAACCGGGTGCACTGCCACTGCCTCGACATCTTTATTAACCAGGCCTTTGACATGCAGCGGGACCTGCAGATCACTCCCAAACGTCTGGAGTATACTCGAAAAAAGGAAAATGAATTGTATGAATCATTGATGAATATTGCCAACCGAAAGCAGGAGGAAATGAAGGACATGATTGTTGAGACACTTAATACCATGAAGGAGGAACTTCTGGATGATGCTGCCAACATGGAATTTAAAGGTAGGTCCCAGAGAGCTTGATGTGGGCTGCTCGGACCACAGGATTCTTTAACCCTTTTCTAGCTGGAAATTGAGTCTCATTAATTCTGAAGGAAACTCAGGAGAATCTCATAAACCTAACTGTCATTAGTAGGAGCCCACCTTAAATCACTTAGCCAGAGGCCTTCCTGGAAGATTCTACTGTTGTTCCTTCCCGGGGTTGGTAAGTTCATCCTAATAGCGGTCTTTAATCTCTAGTTTGTATCTGTATCCCCTTGAAGTTGATGGAGCTGGAAAATGTTACTAAGTCATGCTTTAACCTTGGCTTTAACCTTTGGCATGGCCCATGCTTCCTTATTGGTTCTTTTTGTGTGTGTGTGATGGTTCTTCTTTCTAGGCTGCTCCTGAAACCCAGCTTAGGAGTATTTCCCAAAGTCATCTTTTCAGTCCCATTCTTCATGAATGGCTGTTTTTTTGTTTTTGTTGTTAAGATCTTATTCATTTGACTAGAGAGAGAGCACAAGCAGGCAGAGTGTCAGGCAGAGGGAGAGGGAGAAGCAGGCTCCCCACAGAGCAGGGAGCCTGACACAAGGTTCGATCCCAGGACCATGGGATCATGACCTGAGAGGAAGGCAGGTGCCCAACTGACTGAGCCATCCAGGCACCCCTTATGAATGGCTGTTAACAAAACTGGGCCAAAATGATTAGTCGGGTCTTTTAGGGCTGAAGTTTAGATGCGGCTGACTTTGTATACTGATTGCTCTATAAACCTCCCTGCAGGAACATTAGCCCTACCACCTATTAATTAAAGTGATGTGGTTTGCAAGTTACCCTTGAAGTTCTCACTCATGACTGTACATCCAGATCTCCTGGGAGGCTTTGAAAATTGAGATGTTTGCGATCACCCCCCAAAGCACTCCAGACCGATTAGTCACAATTTCTTTTTTTTTTTTTTAATAAGAAACCCACAAGAAGTTTCTTTTTTTTTAAATTTTATTTATTTATTTATTTATTTATTTATTTATTTATTTATTTATTTATTTATTTATTTATTTATGATAGTCACGGAGAGAGAGAGAGAGGCAGAGACATAGTCAGAGGGAGAAGCGGGCTCCATGCACTGGGAGCCCGATGTGGGATTTGATCCTGGGTCTCCAGGATCGTGCTCTGGGCCAAAGGCAGGCGCCAAACCGCTGTGCCACCCAGGGATCCCCTTAGTCACCATTTCTCACATGGGATCTAGCATCAGTTTTTTCTTCAGTCCCCTATGTGGATTCTGCATATTGCCGTCTTCTTGATGAGAGAACTGAGGCTTAGGCAGGTTAAGTAATTTGCTCAAGGTCACAGCTACTGAAAAGTAAAGGAGAGTTTGAAACTAACGGTCTGATCCTGAGTCCAGACTCTGAATTTCCGTGCTTTATTGCCTCTGACGGTGTTCCCAGACACTGCCACTACCATCCTCCTGGTAACCAGTTTCAGCACTTCGGTGTGGTCTTCGACTCTTAGCTGTCCCTTGTGCCCGCATCCCGTCAGCAGCCGAGTCCCGATGCATTGTCTTTCATATTTCATATCTGCCTTTACTATTCTGGTCCCCTCTCCTCTTTGGTCACCCTGAACTGCTATTACGTATTGCTCCCCCAGACATCTTTCTCTCCTTTCTCCACCTCCTCTGCATTGGCTCCCTGTTCCTGTAGACTAAGTTGGGACTTCTTAGCCTAGTGTTACAGATCTTCCAAAGCCTAACCCTGCGCAGCTTTCCCAGTCCTGTTTCCCCCTGGGCACCTTCCGCAAATTCCGATTTCAGTAGCTCTGGACTGCTTGCTGTCCTCCAGCTGCCTGCTCCTGTCCTGCTCTGAACCCAAAAGGTCTTTTATTTGTGAATTTCTAAATTCTCCTACCCTTCAAGGCCTCTTCTAAATAGCATTTTTCCTGAAGGTGTCTTTAGTTTTCTTAGCTAATAGTGATCGCATCCGTCTGAACTCCCACCACGTTTCATGCATACCTGAAATTTCTGGCGTATTTCATTTTCTTTTATTGCAATTATTTATGTTCTTCTGACTGGCATCTAAAATCCTGGAGATCGGGATCCCTGGGTGGCTCAGCGGTTTAGCGCCTGCCTTTGGCCCAGTGCGCCATCCTGGAGTCCCGGGATCGAGTTCCGCGTCGGGCTCCCAACATGGAGCCTGCTTCTCCCTCTGCCTGTGTCTCTGCCTCTCTCTCTCTCTCTCTCTCTCTCTCTCTCTGTCTATAATAAATAAATAAATAAATAAATAAATAAATAAATAAAATCTTAAAAAAATAAAATAAAATCCTGGAGATGTGGGAGAACAGGATCTGGTTTATCATCTTCTCAGAACAGGTAACAGAGAGTTTCTGTACACCACCTCTTTGGAGTGTGAATGAGCGTGTGAATGATGGTGTATGGCAGCGTCACAGAGGAAGCAGAGTCCACTTGAGCAGGCACAGGATGCCTTATTTCTTAGAGGTCTTTCTAAAGATGAGCAGAGAGAACTCTTTGGTGAATTCCCACTGTGGGGAAGACTTGCAGTGAAGAGCTAAGAAGCCTTCTGACCAACTTAAGATGCTGGAGCACCAGCGCTGGCATCACAGTGCATGTGATAAAGGGTGGGCCAGCAGGTAGGTCGGACAGACTGTGAAATATTTGGTAGTTTATTATGTACCAGGTGTACCATGTCTGGGGCCTGGGATGCAGTAGTTAGTTTCACAGATGTGGGGGGAGCTGAGAACAAATAGATCAAACATCTGGCCCGGTTAACTACATGGTAGATTTGCGAAGTCACTTTCCTACTTAGCTGTGTATGAGGACTTCCATGTCTGCTTCTTCACCTTGTTCTAAGTTCTCTTTTGGGGATCCTTGAGGCAATGATAAGTAGATTTAGAAGAGAGCTACCACATAGCCTAAGAAGCCAGATTTCTGGTACTGGTTTTTGTTTTACTATTTTTTAAAAGATTGTATTTATTTATTTGAGGGGGAGAAAGAGAGAGAGAGCTTGAGTCAGGTGAGGAGCAGAGGGAGAAGCAGACTCCCCGTTAAACAGGGAGCCCAATATGGGTCTTCATCCCAGGACTCCAGGATCATGACCTGAGCCAAAGGCAGATGTTTAGCCTACTGAGCCACACAGGTGTCCCTGGTTTTTGTTTTAAAATAAAGGTAATGTTGGGGGCTCCTGCGTGTCTCAATTGGTTAAGTGTCTGACTTCAGTTCAGGTCATGATCTCAGGGTTCTGGGATAGAGCCCCATGGCAGGTTCCCCGCTTGGCAGTGAGTCTGGTTATCCCTCTCCCTCTGCCCCTCCCCCTGCTCCTGTGCTTGCATGCATGTGTGTGCACATTCCCTCTCTCTCTCTCTCTCAAATAAATAAATACAAATCTTAAAGGTAATGTGTGCATGTCAGCTATATTACATATATACTCTAGAAAATGCATTTTTTAAAAGATAATATCTACATACATAGTACTTCACTTAGAGGTATAAAGCTACTGTCCTCCAGCCACTTAGTTTTCCTTCATATGCTTATCTGCCCTTTGCTTTTTCACTGAACTCACAGGTTAGAGATCTTCCCAAAAACGTACATATGGATTTATCTTCTAATAGATGCACCTGGTTTTATTTAACTATACCCCTATTGATGTACATTTAGGCTCTTTCTTTTTTTTTTTTTTTCATTTGGGCTCTTTCTTTTTTCTTTTTTGCTATTACAAACTCTACTGCATTATCATTTACATACATATCTTTGGGACTTGTGTAGGTATATTTCTAGAAAAACAATTCTTAGAAGCAGAATAGTTAGGTCAAAGGGTATGTAGATATTTTTGTTAGTTGTTTGATTAAACAAAAATTTTTTGATAGATATTATGAGATTTCCTACAAAGAGGCAGCACTAATTTAAATTCCCACAGTAGACATGAAAGTGCCTTTCTCGAAGTGGGGTTTTTGCAGGTAATTGGTCTTCCCTTAGTTCTGTCCTTTGACTTGCAGAACAGATTTCTAATTCTTGGAGGTAGCAGGGTGGTAACGACATTTCAGTTTTACTTTTTATTTAGTAATTGATTGGCATTGAATCCCTGACTCTTGAATTTTTCCATAGTGTGAAATGTTACAAAGATCCAAGGCTCTGCAGTCCATGGCTTTGGGTTCAAATGCTAGTTGTATTATTTCCTAACTATACCATCTCCTTCCCAGTGCCCCCTCTGTCCTCTCTTTGAGGCTGTTTCCTGACCTATGAAATATGACCAGTAACCCCCATCTGACAATGTTGTGAGGATTAAATTTGATTACATACATGAAATTATTATGGTGCCTTTCTAATAGTCTGCACTCAATAAATGTTCCTACCGTGCTATAAATGTGACATAAAAGCTGACAAAATCAATAGGCTCATTCTAGATGCAGCTGTTCCTTCTCAGTACTCTTAGATGCCCTGAGTAGAAGAGGACCATGTGGCCCCCGATCACGCTGAGGGTCAGCATTTGTCAGCCAGCTCTGTGTTTATAGCCATCATCATGGTGGCTCCTTGGCTTTGATTGGGAGAGGCCTTTATTCTGAGTGCCTGCCCTTCCTTCCCCTCACAGCCCACTGGCTTCTTTCTTTGCCCCCGTAGATGTCATCGTCCCTGAGAACGGAGAGGCCGTGGGCACCAGAGAACTCAAGTGCTGCATCCGGCAGATCCAGGAGCTCATCATCTCTCGGCTCAATCAGGCTGTGGCCAACAAGCTGATCAGCTCGGTGGATTACCTGCGCGAGAGCTTCGTGGGCACCCTGGAACGCTGTCTGCAGAGCCTGGAGAAGTCCCAGGATGTCTCCATTCACATCACCAGTAATTATCTCAAACAGGTACTGGAAGACTGGCTAAGACACCATGTCACAGATAGCACATGAAATAGAACCCACACCTAAGCCCAACCCCAGTTTAGCCAGGAATTTCCCTTCCACCTTTTTGCCCACTGAGTTTGAATTTTATTTGGTTTTCCCATCGCATGACGACTGCCTGTCACAGGTGCTGGTGAACTGCAAAATTGCAGTTAAGGCAATATGCAGGATGGTGCAGATCGAATAAAGGGGCCCAAAGAGACAAAATGGATGATCAACCTGCATTGACTCTGCACATTTATGGAAGGATGTATTTGGCAACCTTGAAACTGGGCTCTGTGCTTTAAGTAAATATTACTTATCAGATTTTTTAATCGGCCACTCTACCCAGGGCATACTGATTTTCTTTTGTATGTTGTCTTTCAGATCTTAAATGCCGCCTATCACGTTGAAGTTACATTTCACTCAGGGTCCTCGGTTACAAGGATGCTGTGGGAGCAAATCAAACAGGTGGAGCTTATTAGACATTTTCCACCCCCACTTGGCTTACATGAACCTTGGTCACTCCAGTAACGACTGGTGTGTAGGACATTTGGTTGGTGTAGGGTGGCCATTTGTCCTGGCTTTGCTTCTTAGGAGAGTTCTGGTTATGCCTGTTCTGAAATAATTAGGAACACTGCCCCTTTAATGACTAAAGTGATGCATTTAAATGAAATTTTATGCAGCCATAAGACCCTCCTTCACTAGCTTCTTCATAGTCTTTCTTTTCCCCAACCTAAATGTTTTCTCAGAACCAGGCGTTGTTGCCAGAGGCCATTTGTGTGGTTTCTTTTCTGGAATTTGATGTGAGACTCATTCCTTTTTTTTTTTTTTTTTTGATTTTTTTAATTAATTTTTATTTATTTATGATAGTCACAGAGAGAGAGAGAGAGAGAGGCAGAGACACAGGCAGAGGGAGAAGCAGGCTCCATGCACCGGGAGCCCAACATGGGATTCGATCCCGGGTCTCCAGGATCACGCCCTGGGCCAAAGGCAGGCGCCAAACCGCTGCGCCACCCAGGGATCCCCGAGACTCTTATTCCATGCTGAGTTCAGAAAGGGAATTATCAGCACCCCCCCCCCCCCCGGCACTGACCATAGTCATGAGGGTTTGTGAGCATGTAGACTAGGCCTAGTGTTCTTTGATGCTTTCCCTTGGTCTGAGCCCTGAATGATGAATCTTGCCTTCACGTGGCTCCTTTCTTAATGGCCTACTCCTAATGCGTGGCTAGCCCCTCAAGGAAGGGTGTTGGTTCTTTTTGGTGGCTCCTGTCTCCCACCCATGAGTGTTTTTCCTGACTTCATCCTGCAGATCATCCAGCGCATCACGTGGGTAAGCCCACCTGCCATCACGCTGGAGTGGAAGAGGAAGGTAGCCCAGGAAGCCATCGAGAGCCTCAGTGCCTCCAAGTTAGCCAAGAGCATCTGCAGCCAGTTCCGAACTCGGCTCAACAGTTCTCACGAGGCTTTTGCAGCCTCCTTGAGGCAGGTGGGTATGTGGGAAGAGAGAGAAGAACCTGTCTGGTGGGGAATATTTTGCCCACTGCTCTTAATAATTTCTATAAAATCATCAGTATATTTTCTTCCTGTCTGTTAAATGATAATATTATGTTACAAGAAGTTTCATCAGTACATTTTTCAGGGCACCTGGGTGGCTCAGTCGATTAAGCATCTGCCTTCAGCTCAGGTCATGATCCCAGGGTCCTGGGATACAGCCCTGCATTGGGTTCCCTGCTCCACAGAGAGCCTGCTTTTCCCTCTCCTTCTGCCTGCTGCTCCCGCTGCTTGTGTGCACATTCTCTCTCTCTCTCTCTCTCTCTCTCTCTCTCTCTCTCTCAAATAAATAAATAAAATCTTTAAAGAAAAATAAATTTTCATGTGGAGATTTTCTACCTCCAGGGAACATGGAGGCGAAACTCAGTTAATTTGTCCCCATTTCACTGAGTGCGGAATGAAAATAAAGGGGTAGGAATTTTATTTAAGTTACTTAGTATTTTAAGAATGAGTCAAAGGAAGGGATGATTTTGTAACTTTCATACTGATTAGCAACTATGTGACATCTGCTTGTCCCCTCGGTGTATGTGTGTGCAGGTGTGTATGTGTGTACATATGTAGAGGGGAGGGTGTGGAGATATGGTTCTACATCCAGGAGAAACAGCTATTCTTTCCTGAGAGCTCAACTGTGCACCAGTCTCTGAGCCATGTTAGGACATCTTGTGTAACCCTCACGGTTACCCTTAGGAAGCAGCTGTTATTACCTCATATAATAGGTGAGGAAGCCAAACTGGGGACTTGATAAATCACATGACTTTTTTTTGGTTTCCCTCCCAGCTAGAAGCTGGCCACTCAGGTCGGTTGGAGAAAACAGAAGATCTGTGGTTGAAGGTTCGGAAAGATCACGCCCCACGCCTGGCTCGCCTTTCTCTGGAAAGCCGTTCTTTACAGGATGTCTTGCTACATCGTGAGTCTTTGTTTTTCCCAAGTAAATGGGAAGAAGGTTCTAGATACCTGACATTCTCATGTTCACCTTGGAGAATCCCAGTGGCTAAAGCTGCTTTCTTGCAAAGCTGCCTCAGCATCCCCTGATGTGTTTTTAAATCCCTAAAGTCTATTTGGTCCTGTTATTTACACAGTTCAGACAACATGACTGATGTTTATTTAAATCAGATCAGTTAGGTTAATTTTTTTAAAGATTTTTTTAGTTATTCATGAGAGACACAGAGAGAGAGGCAGAGACATAGACAGAGGGAGAAGCAGGCTCCTCACAGGGAGCCCGATTGGGACTCAATCCCAGGACCCTGGGATCATGCCCTGAACCAAAGGCAGACGCTCAACTACTGAGCCACCCAGGCGTCCCAGTTAGGTTACTTCCTACTCCTTTCCAGTAGCATCAGAATTTCTGCCCCTTGCGTAATAATGACTTTCTACTCCTAGGTCCACGTCTAAGAATCTTTTTTTTTTAAACAAGACATTTTATGTATATTTTTCATATGCAGTCTTCAAGATTTTATTTTTAAGTCATCTCTACACCCAACATGGGGCTCGAACCCACAACCCCAAGATAAAGAGTCACGTGCTCCACTGACCAAGGCAGCCGGGCTCCCCATGTGTCTGAGAATCTTAGGGAGGTTGCCCAGCAAGTTCGCATTCCTCCTGCCTTATCTCTGTCTTCATACTTTATAGGTAAACCGAAACTAGGGCAGGAGCTGGGCCGCGGCCAGTACGGTGTGGTATACCTGTGTGACAACTGGGGAGGACACTTCCCTTGTGCCCTCAAGTCAGTCGTCCCCCCAGATGAGAAGCACTGGAATGACCTGGCTTTGGAGTTTCACTACATGAGGTAGGTTCTCTTGTCCTTCATCTCTGTGGGAAAAGATCCAGAGAAGAAGCCAGAAGCCTGGTAGGGATTTTGTACAGAGACCTACCACACCTCGTGTGTCCATTCCTGTGTCCCAAGATGTCGTAGACAATCCTTCTGTGTTGGTCCCAGGAACGTGCTCTCCTGCAGGCCTTCCCTGTCTGTGCTGTCCTCTCCCCTCTCCTCATTTCTCGGACTCTAACTTCCTTTGGACTTCTTCCTTAGCCCAGAAGGCCTGTCAATGTCTAGATTCCGTAATTCTCGGTCCTTGCTGGGGAGGCCATTCTCTCGCCCTCCCTCTGGGCCTGGTATCTCCCGCCCACATGGTGGCGCGCTGTGCACGCTGGAGCCAGAGTGTTGCAGCTGGGCCTCTCTGGTTGCCACCAGGTCTCTGCCGAAGCACGAGCGCTTGGTGGATCTGCACGGCTCGGTCATAGACTACAACTATGGCGGCGGCTCAAGCATCGCCGTGCTGCTCATCATGGAGCGGCTACACCGGGACCTCTACACGGGGCTGAAGGTGAGGTGGGGCAAGGGGCCGAGGCGCAGCCAGCAGCCGGATCCGCAGGCTCCTCTCTGGCCTGTCATCCTTTCTTGTTTATCCAGACCTTCTAGCTTTCACAAGACCGTGTTGGGAAAAATCAAGCCTTATTACTCTACTTTCCAAAAAAACCTTAAAAATTTCTCAGAATCTATTTTTAGCTCCAGTTTATATCCAGAATACTGCCAGTTCACCACTTACACAAATTCTTGTGGTGGTAGTAAAAATCTAGACTACTCAGAAGAGCAGAAATGCGTTCTGTAACTTTGCTGTTCTTTCTTTTTTTGCTCTTGATGGATAAAGCCAGCTTTTGTTTAGTCAATAAATATTTATTAGTGACTACTTTGTATAAGACCCTGCGTAAAGCACTGTAAGGGGATATCAAAAAGTGTGATTGCCAGAGGTCCCTGGCTGGCTTGGTTTGCAGAGCATGCAGCCCTTGATCTCGGGGTCATGAGTTCAGGCCCCACGTTGTGCATAGAGCTTACTTTAAAGAAAATGTATTCACCAGAAACTTTAAAGAGACATGCAGTCAGTGACTATTTTGTGAAGATTTGGTATTTGAGTTTGATAAATCCACCTTGATGGGTAAAATTTGGGCAAGTAGAAGGAAGAGACCATAGCGGGGGGGGGGGGGGGGGGAAGGAATAGCATAATGCCCAGTGCATTTGAAGAATACTAGTCCTGTTGGAGCAGCTGCCTGGGAATAGGGGGACATGATGTGCAGGGAAATGTTGAGAACAAATTCTAGAACACCAAAATGAAGAATTTGCATATTCAAATTTTGTTGTAGACCATGAAATGCTGAAATGCATGAAACATTTTGAGTGAAGTACCCTCAGTGGGATGTTGAGTTTCCCTTACCCATAGCAACCACCACTAGGGACATGGAGATGTTCCTTTGTCTGGTCCCTCCACTGCAGGTGATTGGGGCTGGGGAAACTAACCCCAGAGTATCTGGGTAGGCCCCTTCTCACTGATGTGTCTTGTACCAGTTTACATGGAAGCTTCCTGATATAAGACAGGAACCCGGGCAGCCCCAGTGGTGCAGCGGTTTAGCGCTGCCTGCAGCCCAAGGTGTGATCCTGGAAACCCGGGATCGAGTCCCACGTCGGGTTCCCTGCATGGGAGCCTGCTTCTCCCTCTGCCTGTGTCTCTCATGAATAAATAAATAAAATCTTTATTAAAAAAAAAGGCAAGAACCCTAGAAATGATTGCAAGAGCCATGAGAAATTAATAGGTTGGAGGAAATTACTCTCCCAGTAGCTCTTCATCTCAGAAGAGTTAAGCTCAGCACCTTCTGATGCTTTCCCATGAGTGGGCTAAGCTTTGGATGAGTGAAGTAGTTTTCTCTGGAATTCAAGAGGACCTAAGTTGGAGGCACGGTGAAAGTAAGATGAGTGACTTTGATATTTGAATCTGTAAAACCACACCTTGGCTAACCAGGCTTAAAAAGCAGCGGAAGTCAATCTGCTTGAGACCTAGAATCCCCCTTTTTTTTTTTAATTAAAAAAAATTTTTTTAAGTAATCTCTACACCCAACATGGGGCTTAGACTCACAACCCTGAGATCAAGAGTCACATGCTTTACTGACTGATCCAGCCAGACAACCCAAGATCTAGAACTACTTTGAGCCTCAAGGGTAGTTCCAGGGTTTATTCCAGGATTGGAAATGAGCTCATGCCTTCAGTTGTTGGACTGCAGCTCTTCTAGTCGTGTTTGGGTGTCATCGGCTGTCCTGAGTGCAACACTGAAGAGGCGTTATCTGGCCGCACAGCTTGTCCTTCCTCACTTTACCTCGGCTTCCTTCTCCTGACTGCTGTCCTCTTCCCTTCTTCTCCCTGCTTCTCTGTCTTTGTCCTCTGAGTGCCCTAGTGCAGACTGTCCCTCGGTGCCCTGCAGAAGGAACTCTTAGCTGCTTTAAGCACGTTGGACTGAGGAGTTGTCCTGTTAGTGATGAGTGAGCCCTTTTTTCTCCCTAAGGCTGGGCTGACGCTGGAGACCCGTCTGCAGATAGCTCTAGATGTGGTGGAGGGGATCCGCTTCCTGCACAGCCAGGGACTTGTCCACCGTGATATCAAGCTAAAAAATGTCCTGGTAAGTAGAGCTGTTTCCCTGAGATAACACCCTGCCTCTGTGGGTTAAGTGGCCTTTGCAGGGTCTGCCAAATGTGAGCTGGATCACAGGAAGTACCTGCCAGGAACGCAGCAGAGTTGATAGTGGAGTGGATTGATGGCGTCTTGGATGTAAAGCTTGGGGAGTATCAAGCCGTGTCATAGACTGAGCTTATGTTACTTAAAGGTTTTTTCCCCAACACTGTTGGGAAAATGTAAACTTATGGAACAGAGTAGTCCAGTGGACCCATATACTTATCATTCATCCAGATTCACGTTCTCTTTCTCCCGGGTTTGTCCCTCTCTCTCTCTCTCTCTCTCTCTCTATCTCTATCTTACATACACACACATTCTTTTACTCAACTATAGAAAGTAAGTTACAGTTAGCACATTAAATACTTGAGCTTGTATTTCCTAAAAACGGCATTTTTCTGGGTAATTAAATACTATTATCGCACCAAAGAAATATAACATTGATAATGATGCTATTAATTAATATACAGTTTATATTAACATTTTCAAGTTACCCAGACACAGCTCATGTGTTTGCTTTTTCGATCCAGGGTTCACTCCAGGGATCAGAGAGTGTACTTTGTTGTCATGTTTACCTGTCCTTTAGGATAGGCCTTCCACCCTTTTTTTGCTTTTGTGACGTTGATATTTTTGAGGATTCCAGGTCAGGTTGTTGTTTAGGGTTTGATCAGAGGTGCTGGATGAGGGCTGTGATGGGTAAGTGCACCATAAAGGGGAAAGTAGTCACGAACCCACCAGCCCTGGTATCTCAGTTCTGAAGAACCTTCCGATGTACTCCTCTTGGAACTGTATTGGATTATCCTCGAGGTGTCTCTGGCAGCAATTCCCTGACAACGGTGTGGGGGAAGAGGAAGATGGTCCTAAAATCATAGGCTGAAACCTGAGAGGCTTATCAGTCGTCAAATGAGGCACAAATTTATTCTCTTGGTCCTTTAGGAAAGGAGACTGCAGGAAGTTCAGGCAGCTTCCTTCAGCTGACCGGAGGTCCTCAGTTTTTTCCTTAGCAACTTTCTGCCCTGGGTTCTGGAGGTCAGAGGAGAATAATCAGGAACTGAAATACTTTCCTCTATGTCCTTCACATATTCATTCTTCCAAGACTTACTAAGCTTCTGTGATGTGCCAGGCACTACGCTAAGTGTGAGGTATACAAAGATGAAAAAGACAGCCCCTGCCATCAGGTTGCTTACAGTCTGGGGAGAAGATAGGTAGTGGGAATGAATCCGGAGACAGGGAGGCCTGCTTCTGAGCTTGTGTATGCAACTGAGTGCTGTGTGTAGGATCAGATGCAGGTTGACTCACCCTGCTTTGTTGGCAGCTGGACAAGCAGAACCGTGCCAAGATCACCGACTTGGGATTCTGCAAGCCAGAGGCCATGATGTCAGGCAGCATTGTGGGGACGCCAATCCATATGGCCCCTGAACTTTTCACAGGTAAGCTCAGGGCAGGGAGTGGGCTTCAGTGGGGCTCCGTACTTTAACCCTGAGTGCTACCCTTTGGGCTAAGTTGTATCCACAAGTACTACCAACAGGTCTGGGGCAGGTAGGGGACAAGCAGAGGAGGGAAACCTAAGGTAGGTGTAGGGGGAAAAGTAAAAAAGGGAGAGTGGGGAGAAGGAAGAGCACACACGGGAGTCACCAGGTCTTCTTTTGGATGTTTCTCTGAGCTGTTTGTACCATAATTGCCATAATCTACCAATTGATTGATCATAAAGTACTGATTGAATGACTTCCATATGCAAGGAGTTGGCCCTGATCATTAAGGAACCTGTAGATGACAGAGATACATTGAGAGAGGTAAAGTAATCAGGAAGCAGCCATAAGGCAGCCTGTGACGAGGTGCTAAGACAGGCGTCACCTAACATGATGTCGGTATTCAGACAAGCGATACATGAAGGCTGAAACGTTTGACAGTTTTGTGGTAGAAGTGAGATGTTGGGTAGAGCTTGAGTCAGGTCTGGAAAAATTGGTCTTTGGGAAAGGAACTCATATGAAGTGTGGTCTTTGAACTGGGCAGTGTGAGCATGCTTTTTCACAGCACTTCTGTGGTGATGGTGATGCATTCTTATGCCTACGTCACAGTGTAATGTCAAGTCCAGATTGGTGAATGTCAGAAAACCACCCCCCCCCAAAAAAAAGAAAAAAGAAAACCACCCCAAAACCCTGAGCTAGAGATGATGGAGCTGGGATTGGAATCTAGGTTTTTCTGGCTCTAGAATCTAACCATGTGTCACCAAGGAGAGAACATTCTGGAGGGTGGGGAAAGGGAAATATGAGGAAAATTGCAGCATAAAAGTAAGCACAACAGGGAAGAAATCTACATTGGGAATAACAGCAAACAAGTTTGGAGACGAAATCCGCCCAGAGGAGTGAAGGCTTGATGTGGAAGCAGTAAGGAACTTGAACTTTTGCGCAGGTGAGGGATGAAAACATCTTCGTGGAAGGTTCACTTAGCAGCAGAAGGTGGAGGGGGTTCAAGTGGCAGGAACCAAGGTAGGCGGAGCAGTGGTACTTGTCTCCAGGGTCAGGCTGCTAGTAGCACTGAAACAAAACAAGCGTGCCAGGTGCGAGATCAGCTCAGGGGAGGAGTGGGCGGGATCCTGTGACTACCTGGACATTGAGGACAGACAGCAAAGACGGACTGGACAGGGACCCGAGGGCTTGAGCCTGAGAGGGCGGGGGATGGTGAGGGGGCATTGCTGAGGCAGATGGGAAGGCCTCAGCGGACCCCCCGTCAGGGTGGGGAAAGTTAGAATCAGCGATCTGTGCGACCTCCTCTCACTAGCCCCACGCACGAGTCTGCCCCCAGCCCCTCTCGGAGCTGGGCATGTGAGGGTTAGGGGTTGGTTGGACCCACACAGCTAAGCACATGCTCATTGTTTTTCTTTGTCTAGATTTACTTCTTAAAGAATTTCTATTCCTACTGCTGTTGTTTTGTTTTGGCTACTTCATATTTCACTTCCCTTGATTGTTTCTCTGCAGTCCTATTGCTGTCAGGAGAATCTTTCTCAGGGTGCCTGGGTGGCTTAGTTAGTTAAGCATCTGCCTTCAGCTCAGGTCATGATCCTGGGGACCTTGGATCGAGTCCTGTGTCAGGCTCCCGGCTCAGTGGGGAGTCTGCTTCTCCCTCTCCTCCCTGCTCATCCTCTCTCTGTCAAATAAATAAAATCTTTAAAAAATAAAATAGAATACGTTCTTTGTGTCACCTCTTGCCTTAAAACATAAAGGACTTCTTGCTGTCCATTGACTCCAGACTTTTCTGTCTAACTTTTAAAGATCTTTATATTCCAGTTCTAGTCTCCCCTCCCACCTGTTTCCTAACCTTATTTCCCAATCCGACCTTTCAGGATGAATCTTCTTGGCTGTTCTGTCAAAATCAAAGGCTTGTCCTCCTCCTTTGTCAGGCTCTAGCCTTGGCTGTCCTGCCATCTAGCACTGATTTCTCAGGGCTATGGTTTTGGGTATAATAAAAAAGGCATTATAAACAGTCCTGCCTGCCTGGGTTGTTAGGGGAGACAGTGGATGTTAAAAGCTCTAGAAAACACATGGAGGCCCCTGCAGATGGGGGATGGATGTAGCCACTCCCTGTCCCTGGCTCACTGCTGTCACCCTTTCTCACTGCAGGAAAGTACGATAATTCGGTCGATGTCTATGCCTTCGGCATTCTCTTCTGGTATATCTGCTCAGGCTCTGTCAAGCTCCCTGAAGCGTTTGAGAGGTGTGCCAGCAAAGACCATCTCTGGAACAACGTGCGGAGAGGTAAGAGCCAGGAGCCCTACCTTGTCCTGACTCCCCCTGTTGAGAGCAGGCCGAGAGCAGGCACTGGAGGGGGCTTCGTGTCACCCGCTCCGGCCACCCCACTGCAGGACCACACACCGTCATGGAAACCAGGAAGGGCACTGAAGTCTAGCCTTTGCTTTCAGGCAGCATTGTACTCAATGGTTTCAAGAAAGCTTTTTTTCTTGTTTTTTTTTTTCTTTTTTTCTTGAAAATTTCCAGTTTTTCAACTTCCTATGCTAGTGCATTCCAATTTTTGTCAACGTTATTCTTAGGTTCTAATTGCGGTGTTTGCCATTGAAGCCAGAACTCCTGAGCCCCGCCTGGGTGATCAGTCTGTGAGCTGGTCAGGCCTTATAGTTGCACGGGCCGTCTCACCGACTCTGACCTTGTTTCCATGTGCCTTTTTCAGGGGCCCGGCCAGAACGTCTTCCTGTGTTTGACGAAGAATGCTGGCAGTTGATGGAAGCCTGCTGGGACGGTGACCCGTCTCAGAGACCTCTCTTGGGCATCGTCCAGCCCATGCTCCAGGGCATCATGGAGCGGCTATGCAAGTCAAATTCTGAGCGACCAAACAGAGGACTAGATGATTCTACTTGAAAGCAGAGACCTTTCTCTTTTACTATTTCTTTCCTTCCCCTCACCTTTTGGTCATGGGAAGAATTTGACATTTATTCAGAGAGCTCCTGAGGGAACTGATGCTTGTTGAGCAGCTTGAGACCTTTCCAGGCAGAGTTGCCTCCCGGATAGTGAAGAGTTGGCTGGCTGTTGGGGCACATTCAGCAGCTCACTGATGTCCCAAGCCATCTCGTTAGTAAAAGATTGTCTAGGATGTGTAAATGCTGAAGAATGCAATGTTCCAGGCTCAGAACTGAAAAGGAGGCAAATGTACCATTGTCTGTTCACTGTGTGTTGCTAAGACAGGTGGGGCACTGCGGTGGCAATAGTATTAAAAACTATAATTTTCATAATTTTGTCTCTAGCTAGAAGCAGTTTGGTTCTATCCAGTCATCAGGACCCTTAGAAAATTTGAACTTTGTTCTGGGATTGTGAGAACATAGGAGCAAAAAAAATAACTTCCTGCTACCTGCAACCAGAGATCTCAGGTTGTAACAGCAGAGGCCCCAGTGAGGGAGCTAGAAACAGAGCTGTCAGTTCCTTACGGTGCCAGCGTGTTTACATTTATAGGACTGAATATCCCTGACTTCTGGGGAAGGGTTTCATGGTTACATCACCAAGAGGCCACAAAAAGAAAAAAATGTGTGTACGTACACGTATGTGTGTATATATATATATATATATATATATATATATACATATGCGATTGGATTCTGAGTTACTGCTAACTCCAAGATAGAATCTCTTCTTCCCTTTGTCTTGATTTTTTATTTTCTCCTTTTTAGTCTCAAGATGGGAAAACTCCAGTTAACATGGTATCTGGGGATGAGTGTCTGAGTAAAACTGATGGGTGTGGAGTATCTGGTGAGGTCTGAGAAGTGGGCAGTGATCTGGAAGCATGGGCTTCCATGCAACCTATGAGAAAGATACCAGGCTGTTTCTAAACTTAGAAGAATCAAAAATCCCTGTTTTTGTGTTTGAATCTAACACACTGATGTTTTTAAACTCTGTCGATGAGCTTTTTAACCAAAATTTCTTTTGCAACTTGTCCCTTCTTTTTACTTCGAATGTAGCGTAAGAAGAAAAGCACCAGATGAAAGAGAAGAGATGCTTTTCATAGCTCTGTGTGTGTGTGTGCCTCTCACCTCTGTGTGTTAGCATCTGGGATGGTTCTCCCTTGCAGTTGGGAGGTGCGGGGCTGGGCTTTTAGAGAGTTTGTCAGGAAGGGTGTATAATAAGGGAAATTCTGAAGGGGAATGATTTAAAGATCAGTGCATCTCAGATGTTGACTTAAAGCCTCACTCAACCAAAATGGTCCATTAGATTTAGATACCAGGTGGGTGAAGGAGTAGACAGTGGAGGTGAACAGCCTCCATCCGTCTGCCTAACTCCAAGCACTGTGGTCCCTGCCCTGTGCGTGGCCCCAATTCTGTGAAGCAGGTCCCTGAGTAGGTGTGTAAGAAAAAGGGCGGATTTGCTGCTGGAATTTTGTAGCCTTGTTTCTGAGAGAGTGACCATCTCTTAAACATTAACAGAGTATAAATGGCGTCTACAAGAAATTTCTCATGTAACTTTTAAAGTTGAGTTTTAACCCTTTGGATGCACTGGGCTCTGATTATGATACTTTTGAGCATAGTAAGCCTCCAAGCACTTGGAGCCCTTCAGAAACTTCATATAGTGCTTTTCACTTGCGAACAATAAAAGTGACTGAACCAGTGTCTTTGGGTTCTATGGGTTCCAGGCTTGTTTTGGTAGAATGTCCAGTGAATCTCTTAAAATTGTTAATACCCATTTATAGATTTACTTTTTCAAGTCACTCTGTTCTTGTCTGCATTAACTCGTTTGCCCTCCAGAGAACTATGATGGAGCTTCCAAGGAAGCCAGATTTTCAAGTTTAAAAAGAAGAGGTGAGTAGTGTCTACTGGCCAGAAAATCAGCCTAAGTGTCTGTTCTGTATGAAATTTCAAGAAAGGTCTTCTGTAATTCCCTTTTCCAGAGAGTCTTCCTTGACTCCAGCTGGAACCAGGAGCCTGGCTTCCGGCGTGGAAGCCACATTCCTAACATTCTTCCAGAGCCTTAGCAGCGACCCCTATTCAGACAGGGGCGGGGCGGGTAGGTTTTCCTGTACCTAGCGTTCTCTTTCCCTGCAGCTCAGTCTGCTCCTCAGACACCAGTTTCCTAGCAGATTCCGTTTGTTTGCCTGACTGAGGAGGGCCTAGATGCTAAGTCAGACAGTAGCTGTGTTAACAATTCATTACAAAAAAAGGTATTTTGAGAAAAGGTGCAAGATACTCCTGAAGCTCGCCAGGCCAGCCAAAGTCCATGTAGAGATATTTGGAAATGTTATTTGAACACTCAGCGGGCTGAGTGCAGGAATACATATATCTGACATGCACATACTTTGCTTTTGTTTGATAACGTTGTCAGCTAATTTTGGATTCTTTGTTCCTTGGCACCCATTATTATTAAAGTGATGGAATGCCATGAAATGTACTGTACTGTATATTACTTGGGAAGACACTAGGTATTCAAAGAAGTCTGGGGGCACTTGCGCTGTAGTAGGCTCAACAAGACCAAAGTCCTAAAGACTTTACCTCCTAGCTTTGGTTGTACGTGCTCCCAAGTGGTGAGGTGAGATTGTGGCTGGGGGAGGAGGAAGGACGGAGTGGATGACCCTACTGCGTTCTGTCCTTCTAATCAACTTCATTAGGGCAGTTTATCCCAGCCTGAAAATGATCGCCTGGCCGTTTTTAACATGCCTGAAGTCCAGTCACTTGTGTGACTTCAGAACTGAGTGAGGGACCTTCTTGCAGAGCAATCAAGAAATGGAGCCTGGGGCCCCAGAGGGGCTGACCCTGTGCCCAGGAAGCCGGCAGCCTGGCGTGAGTCAAGGGGTGCTCGTTTGGGTGAGGCTTCCACAGGCATACCCTACTTCCTTGATCCTCTGAAGAGAGCGGCTCACGGAGCAAGTCTTCCACTTCTCTAGGAAGGACGGCTGTGCTGGTTCTTCCAGACCAAAGAGAATCACTTGTGACTCCCATCAGTTTCAAGGGGACAGAGCCTAGGCAGCAGCTTCTCCTCATTTTTAACACTAAAACTCAAGGAAATGGTGAAGGAAAGGATATATTGCTACCACAGATGGAAACGGGGAATGGTAGGACTCCCCACTAGCACCTGTCAGCTCTCCTGTGCATTTTGAAGCATCTTTGCTGAGCTGCCAAAGAGGGGTTGGAAGTTTTTTCCTGATGAGAGAAGGGGTTTGAGGATGGCAGGGCCCCAAAATAATAACTGCACTGAATGACACTTTATTTTTTTTTTTTTAATTTTTGGCTTATTATTTAGCACTGAGAAGCCAAGAGGGATTGGTGATTACAGTAGCCCTGGGGGCTCAGAGGCTCCCTCTGGCCTTGCTTTGGAGAGAAGGCACATGGTTGGTATTCCATCTGGCTAATCAGGGAAACTCCAAAGTCCAAACTGCCTCAGAGCGGGATAAATGGTCCTTCGCCAAAAGAGTAGTCACTTTCTTTGAGTTTTCAAAGTTTGATTTTTGGATTTGCTGGATCAAATGACCCACTTTTTCTTCAAAAGAAAAAAAAGGTGGATTTTTCCTTCTAAATAATGAGGGCAGTAGTTAGGGCTAGTGCCGGGTTAAAGTGGGTAAGGAGGGAGTAACCTTCGGAAACTTGTATTGCAAACTCCTTTGGGTGTTGCACGTCGCACTACTGTTCTTAAAAGGGTTTTATTTTTGACTTCATCTGCTCTGTTAACAGCCAGGCCAGCCGAGATGTGCACAGAGACTATGCAAACACTCGGCATTGGGGGAGGCCACCTGACTCAGAGGGTTGAAGAGAAAATTGGTCTGGACAGCTTGTTGTCTTTTATCTTAATGTAATATTTTTGTTTGTTTTAAAGGACTAATGTCGATTACAGTGTTAATAAAGGTGTAACATACTAAGTGTGTAGAATAAAAGTGCAATGACAAGAGGAAGTCACCTTGGCACGAACCTCAGTCTTTCGCTTTCCCTCCTGTACTCTTTCCATAATATGGCAACCAGGACCGTGTTGTGTTTTCAAGAGACATGACTATGGGTTCAGCCCTCATCTAGTGTCCTTTTGAATGGTTGGCTTTGGTTTTATAGAATATTCTGTATCCTTGTGGGGATGCACACATACCACATGTGCCGTAGAATAAAGGTCACATTAACATTTGAAGTTTACCTCTCTTTGACTTTGTTTCCCTCCCCTCCCTGGGTTGGAAGGATGCCTCCCACTTCTATGGGACCTCTGCAGTCAGAAGTCTTTCAGCTTGCCTTGGAGAATGCTGGAACGTCCTGCTCCCCCCATACGCCACTCTGATTTCTGGGTACTTGACGTTACCGCTGCCAAAGGGTGGGAAAGAGAATGGGAGGAAGGCAAAGTAGGGTGATAGCAGTTTATCCTGGGGTCACGCCTTTTGCTGCACCTTGTCTCCGGCACGGACTTGCGTGAGCCTGGCTGCTCGATTTCATTTTGAGAGAATCCGAGGATGGAATCTACATGCTGGCCTGTCTGCATTTGGGATATCTGCATTTTCTATTTGGGTTCACCCCCACTGTTTGGATCTGCTTGCTTGGCATTGCCTGATGGGCACCACCATCTGCCCTCGAGGCAGCCAAGTGCCCCCCCCCAACTGCGTAGTCCCCAGGGAATGTCAGGAGGCAGCTCACGGCATCACTTTTTGCTACTCGGCTTGTGCTCTGACTGCAACACTAGTTTGGCCAGGGGGCGGCAGCACACCTCAAGCAGTTGGCGTGTTTGTGTCCGTCTTTCAGAAAACAAGCTGCAGGCGAACCTGCGTGGTTCTTAGCCCCTACACGTAGACGTTTCCTGCAGATGAGCCTCTTACCCTGGAGAAACTTTGACCAGCTCCAGCGACCCTTCGCAGGTAAATGTACCCCGTCTTAGACGCACATACTCTGTTCTAGTGTAAAGTTCAGCACGACAGTTCGCTTCACTTCCTCTCTTACCAGGATTACTTTGGAAAAAATAGCTGGTGCTAACACATTTTTAGACTGGGCGTGCTTTCCCAAGAACACCTCCCTCAGCAGGCTTTCCCTTGAGCAGCAAGGGAACTGGGGCAACTGGGGTGGCCTTCCTGGTCCTGTGTTTGGGTGGGGCTCAGAGGGGAGAGCCACCGAGTTTCTGAACATTATTAAATTCAATGTCAAAATGTGTGCCTCTAGCAGGATTCCAAGGAGGCCGCAAAGTACTGACCGAACGGCCTCCTTTCAAATGTGGGTACCAGGGGTGGCTGTTCACTGGCTGAGCCTCCCAGGGCCCTCCTCGGGATGGCCTGCTCCTCAGTCTTTTATTAGAGTAGCTTTTTCAAGTCAGACTATTTTATGAAACTGGTTATCCACCTGAGGAGAAGATCATGCAAAAGAGAAGGTAGAAATCTAAATGTAAAAAACTGAAACGATGAAGGAGTTTTCTTTATGCCGGGCACTATTCGAAATGCTTTACATGTGTTAACTCAATCCCCAGCACCACAACCCCATGCTACCTACGAGAAAAGGCATAGAGGTGAACCAGGGTCCTGCAACTGACAAATGCCAGAGCTAGGATTTGAACCTAAGAAGTGCAGCTCCAGAATTTCTGCTTCTACAACTAACCATTACACCATGCTGCCGCTGGGGGAAAATGTACGTAAATATGTTCATGTATAGTTTAGGGGCAGGGAGAACTTTCTTGAGGGTGGTTAGGGACCCAAAAGCCATAAAGAAAAAAATTATAGAACTTACAAAGAATGTAGGGGCAGGGCACCTGGGTGGCGCAGTTGGCTGAGTGTTTGACTCTTGGTTTCAGCTCAGGTTGTGAGATCGAGCCCTGAGTTGGGCTCTGCACTCACTGCAGAGTCTGCTTAGGACTCTCTCCCTCTGCCCCTTTCCCCTGCTCTCTCTCTATCTTTCTAAAATAAATCTTGAAAAAAATGAAATTATAAAGAATGTGTATGCAGCCAAAGACACTGAAAATTTAAGACAAGTCAGTAATTTGGAGAGAATAATTGCAATATATAACTGATAAAATGTTCATATTTCTAATACATGAAGAAATCAAGCAATAAGAAAAAATCTACAAGCAAATTAGATACTACATTTTTGAAAAAGATGTGCATCCTCATCAATAGGGAAATCCATATGAGAAAGATATTTCCATCTATCAAATTACTAAAAACCTTGAAAAACTATTCATAACTGTGGGGGATGAACACTTCCCTGTTGTTGGGAAGTGGGTGTAGCTGCAGAAGGGCAATTTGGCAGTACCTATTATAAAAATTAAATGTATATGTCCTTTGCTCCAGAAATGATTTCTATGTAGTCATTACCTACAAAAATATTTTCACTGGTATGCAAAACCATGCATCATTATTTGTGATACTAGAAAGTTGGAGGCGATGTTCATGTCTGGCAACAGATTAGGATTAAATTGTGCTCACCCGGTGGAATTCTATGCAGCCATTAAAAGGAACGACACAGCTCTCTCTGCACTGACAAGGATGTTTATAACCAGGTCATTGAGTGGAAAAGTATGTAAGTGCATATTTCATATGATCCCTTTTTGAATAATAATCCCATCTCCCATAACCCCAATTTCTCTAGAAATCTAGTTCCTCTCTCTCTGTATATGGCTAGAAAAAGGTTTGTAATATGCGTCAATTTGATACATATCATACTTAACAGTGGTTTTCCTAGGGAGAGAACTCTAACTCCAGGGTATCGCATTTCTGTTATTCTATTGTTATCTACTGTGAATATCTATTTTTCTTGCCACTTAAGAAAATGAATGGAATGGCTAATTCAAGAGGAAGGAAGTAGGTATTGGAAAGATATTACAGACCCACAGAATCACTGGGTAGGAGCCACAGTAGACCTGCAGGCAACTGCCGAGTGCCTGGCTAGGGCTGTGAGGAGCCACCTTCACTCCCTCATGAGGCGGCCGCCGAAGAATCTTCTCACTTGGCTCGGCACAGGCCCCAGACCCATCTTGCAGCTGTATTGGCTCACAGCTGGAAGGCTCTGTGCCCTCCAGGTTCCATGCAGGTGGCAGGGACCTACATCTGTCGGCCCATCAAAACTGTGTTCGGTGGAGAAGATGTAATTCCTGAAAGGTAATCAAAGACTTGTTAGAAAAGGGACCCACATTTAGGACAGGCTCAGATGACGTATGTCCAGTGCACTTCACGTCTTGGGCTGCTCCGCATCTGGCCCCACCCTCTGGCACTACTGAGGGGCAAGGCGGTGAAGGTAGATCCGCAGATTGAAGCCCAGGCATGGAGGAGGCACAGCTGGGTCTCTGGGAAGGACATTCAAAAGAAGACCCTCTTGAGTCTCTTTCCTTTCTGTCTTCCTTGTTGTCTCAGCAGGGCATCCTAATGAGATCAAAGATGGTCAAGCATCTAAGAATGTGCTAAATGACAGCTTTTCTATGTGTAGAATTCAAGAGTCGAAAGGGTAGAAGGATGGGGCAAACTCCAGCCTCCCAAGTGAAGCCACAGGCTCTGAGATTAAGTTAAGCTTCCCAGGGTTCCAGGCTGGGAACATGCAGAAACGGTGGCTAGTCTGAGACCTCTTACTGAGCAGGATTTGCTCACAGTTTCTAAAAACTGCTACTTCTATTTGATACCTGCTAAAAATATATGTGTACCATCCTTGAAAATTATGCAACACGATAATTTTAAAACTGTGAACTTACCATATAATTTGTGGATCAGAACATTCCCACCGAGCTGATGCCCCCGTGTGCTCTTCCAGATGACAGTCCCGTGTCCCTCTCCCACCCCGGGTTACTATTGTGCTTGTCATTCTCTTGCTTTAAAAGCAAAAAGCTTTTCCAAATATACATGTGTTTCAAATGGTATATAGTTTGGGTTTGCATGTTCTTGAGCTTTAAAAATGGTATTACCAGGGCACTGGGTGGCTGAGTCAGGTAAGCATCTGCCTTCGGCTCAGGTCATGGTCCCAGGGCCCTGGCATGGAGCCCCCACATTGGGCTCCCCGCTCAGTGGGGTGTCTGTGTCTCCTTCTGCACCCCCCCACTCCCGCTCGTGCTCTCTCCCAAATAAAAAAAACCTTTAAGAAAATGGTATTACTTGTATTTCATCTCCTATAACTGTTTCCTCTTCACTCATCCCGTCTGCCTTTTCTCCAAGCTAATTGGCTGTCACTGCAGGACACTTATTCTCAACGCGAGAGATTATTCTCATGTGTGAATGTACTGCGACGTGGCCAGCGACGTGGCCATCCTCTTCTTTCTCAGAGAACCAACTTTTGGTTTGCTTCCTTCTCTCACTGCACCTCTGTTTCCTAGCTCACAAATTCCTTCTCTTATTTATCATCTTGGTTCTCTCTTTAAGGGTGAGTCCATGGCCCACTGTTTTCCTTCTTCTTTTTAAAAGTTTTTATTTATTTATTAATGTATTTATTTGTGAGAAAGAAACATCATGATCTGGGGGGAGGGGCAGAGGGAGAGGGAGAAGCAGGCTCCCCACTGAGCAGGGAGCCCAAGGCAGGGCTGGATCCCAGGACCCCGGGATCATGACCTGACCCAAAGGGAGACACTTAACCACTGAACCACCCAGGACCCCTGCCCCATCTTCCTAAGCTGGATGCTTAGCTCATGAATTTTCAAGTTGCTTCCTTCCTCACACAAACAATGACGTTTAGGATTTCCCTTGGATTACAACTGTTGCTGCATCCTACAAGTTTTTGTTTTTAAAGATTTTATTCATTTATTCATGAGAACACACAGAGAGAGAGGCAGAGACACAGGCAGAGGGAGGAGCAGGCTCCATGCAGGGAGCCCGACGTGGGACTCGATCTCGGGTCTCCAGGATCAGGCCCTGGGCTGAAGGTGGCGCTTAAACCGCTGAGCCACCCAGGCTGCTCGCATCCGACAAGTTTTACTATGAAACATGCTTGTTATAGTTCAGTTTCAGTATTTTCTATTTGCTGTTATAATGTTATCTCTGCCCTAGGTTTTACATGGGTATGTTTTTAAATTTCCAAATGTGAGGAAGAATTTCTCGGTGTTTTTGTCAATGATCTATAACAAGACATTGTGGGCAGAGAATGCGGTTTGTAGGATGCCTGTTTTTTATAAATCTGTTGGAACTTGCTCTGCGGGCTAGCTCGTGGTAAATCTTTATAAGCATTTTATGTGTTCCTGAAAATAAT